ATCTTTTGTTCTTGTTGCGTTGGCTTGAAATTGATTGTCACCGAATAATATCTGCAGTCGATTTTCAAACCGATTGAAAATCAATCATGATAAATTCTCTGAATTCACACAGCTCAATTTTTTTCCATTTTGGAATCATTCGATTGCCATGGACACTTCAATTTTGCAATCAACGATCATAAAAGTTGATACTGATCCCATAAGCGCTTCTTTTCATTGACTGAATGCCTTCAATTTGGTGTTTTCAAGCTGGTATCGTTATTTTTCGAAGACACTTGTGTTAAATTGCGCTCAGTGAGTTTGTTCATGACTGCACCCATCTGCTTTTGAACAGTAACACAAGCCACATCCACAAAAACAAGCTAAATGAAACCAACGTCCGTCCAAGTCCATGGAGTGCTTCAACAACTGTATGCTTCACTAAGTGGCCCAGATTCGACGTTGTCTGTCGTGCTTCCTCAGTTGGTGTGAAAGTCTTCTGAGAGCCTTCTGGAAATCCAACGTCCATTGCTTGCATACCGATCGTTCGAAACGCATCAATAACAACCTGAATCACATATTCCTCAGAACTGACTTACTGCTATAAATAGATGAACTGTCTTCGAAATTTTAATACGTACATCCTCCGAGTTCAAGACAAGATAAGTCACGTTCCATAAGCAGTAAAAATGAAGAATGAACCTTTCCTTTGACAGACTGTATCGGATCAACAACAACAGCAATGGCTCGTTCGCTNTTTGATACACTGGATCTACGGCCTCCACTGATACTCCCTGAATTCACACTTTATTCACCTCACCTCCTTCTCGTTTTATGCGTTCTCGCATCAAGCAGTTTTGCTCGCTATGGTATTCAAATCATCTAAATTGTTCGCATAAGTGAGCTTCAGTCGTTAGATTGAAAATACGACGTGCCCTGTAATGTAATTAAACGAGGTGAACATAATAAGTCAGTAATATGAAGCGATATCTCGAGGTGCAGTTGTCGTGAAAATTCGAAGGGATGTGTGACTTGGTTCGGAAAGAATCCCACTGACGTCGGTGATTAGTTTGTTTTAATTAATTGGATGTGGGATCGGATTGCGAATAGAACTTGCTCCGAGACTGACAATGCCGTTCCAATGATAAGTGTTGCTCGAGTGCGTCCAGCCGCCACCTCATTGTGGAGATGCACCCTCAAATTTGTTAATCTCGAGTCAGAATCAATGACTCCCTATTAAAACGAACCGTTCCAGACTGAGGCATTGCAAAAACATCCACAACATTCACCGTGTAATCATCAATAAATTCGCCGAGCATTAAACCCATCACCTGGAATCGTTTGAGTATCCGAATATAATTTGCTGAGAGTTGAAAAAAATGAGTGTGAATGATTGACGTGAAAAAATCATTTCTCAGCTTCTGAACACTTCAGAAAGATTGCTATAACATGAATTTTGAGCATTCAGTGATCATACAGCTAAACCTTTATGACTCACTAGCAATCTTCACTGATCAAAACTGACGATGAATTTTCTGCGAACGACCATGAGAATAAAAGCGAAAGGATTGACTCGAGTCACTTAAAAATTGAATGTGTGGATAAAAGCGCTTTCCAAAAATGCGGATCAACTGATTTGTTCAGAACTGATCGATGAACATGAATGAATAAATAAATTCTTCGTAAGTCAATTAGCGCAACCTCCATCGGAACACCGGCACGTCCGTGACGAAGCATTTTGAGCAGAGCAAGCGATGATATGTAAACAATCTCACCGGTGTCTGGATGACGCAAAACATCCTCTGGAGTTGCACGTGAAACAAACTGAAATCGTCACTCACAAATCTGACCAATCAATCAATCCAATCAATCTCAATCAATCAATCTCACCAATCTAATCCACATCCTTTTGTTTAAGTCTATAACGCATCTATTAGATAGCAATCACGAACATTCGGAAATCCACTCAACCGCAGAAGTCGATCCATTCTTAGCGGTGGTACTTGCCCTCCACTTTACACTTACCTCAACCAACCAACCTACAGCAAATCTGGTTGGTTGAATAAATATACGTCACAATTTTCCAACTAACATTGTCCGCTCAATGTTATGATTGTGTAAATTCTATTAGTCAAAATCAAATTTGAAGCTCATTCAAATAGAATTCCAAATTTGAAGTAGGCCGCCGGCAATATGGACGCGAAACATCGTAGACTGCTGCTGCTGCATTACAATATGGAAAATCCAGCGGGATTTCAATAGTTCCACACTGCGTTAGTTGATGACTTATGATCGTTTTGTCGACTGCACACAAAGTGGTGCAGCAAGGTGGATGATACCTGACGAGATTACCTGAACGGCAATACTAGTGGTGTTTGTTGCTTGCACATGTTATTTTGCTGATTCTGCATGAGAAGACGACATTGATGCTAGCATTTTATTGGAATATAACATTACACTTATAACAAAAGCACGTTTGATGACATTATGTAATAGTTAATATTGTCGATTTTATTGTTGTTAACAATAATGACCATACGGAAGTAAATGTTTTCAAAAAATTGCAAACGAGAACAATTAATAATACAAGGCGGTATATGATCACAAAATCGATTCATCGTCATTTCAGTCAGTCGAGACTCATCT